ATAGCGCTCCTCTCCTGGAATTTTGTGCTCCTGTTATTCTACAGCAAAGGCTAGTTCGACGTCCCAGGCTTCGTTTTGGCTAGCCCGTCCCTTCAAGACCCGCCCAGGTGCTCCGAGTCATTGGAGATCATCGATGAGAGTTGTGCTGTGCGCCCCGGGGCCATCGCTCTCCGCTTCACTTACGCTGGACGAACCTAAACGACTATCTGGACATTTGGACTTTTATCTTTGGAAAGGATTCGTTTCCCACCTTTGAATAGGCATTACGCCTCGTTATAAGACATTGTAAGAAAATTTATATATTTAATAAACGGGTTAAAAATGGTAAACCTGTCTCAAAGAGTCATTCTGCGCCCACAAGACAGAACGAACCGCTCGGCTGTCGAACACCTCACCCCAAATCGGCTGACCTCACAACAGTATAATAAGCTTTATTAATAAACAAGGTTAAAGTAGACAATATGTACACATAAATCTTTTTATTATGAAAAGTATTACGAATTGTTAATTTTAAAGCATAGGGCAATAAATAATTCATGTGTGTTATTTAATACTTTTATTATCTATTGTCAATATTGAATTAACTTAAGTAATGAGATGAGAATTAATATGCTATAACGTCATTAAGAACCATAAAAGATGTCGCTAATATGAAGTTGGGTAGAGAGACACAACAACCTTGACCTCTGTTTATTGAAAATAATAATAATGTGATAAAATCATGCTTATAGAAAAAACCTTTACTCATTGTTATATCTGTTTCATTTTAATAATATTTTAAATGGTTCACAAATTAGCACCCATCAATGATTAAACGCTTGTCTTCTTTTTATTATAGACTCGTTTTTTGTTAAACTAGATTTGTATTTTATTGTTGGAGTTCTTAATTGTTCTAATATTTTTCTGTGTTTCAGTAGAAGCATTATCTAAAAATACGTTATCTTATCAAATAAAACCAGGGCATTGATAATTACGGCATTAATTTATATTATACAAACATAATACATTTCGAAAAGATGTAAGTATGGTGGTTTTCCATTGTTTTTAGTGAGACTACAATTAAAATTACCGAAAATTGTCAACTAGTTGTAGTGAATGATTAAAAATAACAGATTCTATAGTAAATTAACATTGTATATTATTAAAAAGTATAATTTATAGAGCAATTAATTCATCTTGCTGTTGGTTACCTTCTTATCCTCCAACATAATAAATAAAGCATAGCTAAATCTCTATTGTTCAAAGTTTAATTAATTTTCTAATTAATAAACAAAATGTATAATTTATTTAATATTTAAAAAGCAATAACAATGTTCATGCTGAAATCATTTATTTAAAATATTTCAATTTACAAATATTTAATTAAGATTGGCATAAAGCAAACAAAATTATTATTTTAATTATAGCTTAAAAATTAATACTAAAATAACATAAAATAAAAATCATACATAATAATTATTATCGAAATATTACAAAATGGATACGAGTCTGAATGCTACAATATTAGAAGAATAAATCGCTTAGAGTGGTTCCAGGAGTATTTGAAATCCGGTTTTGTGGGTGTTTTCCTTCGAAATAAATCGGACTTGCACACCAGATGCATGCGACATTTGAACACCAAAATCTACTCCCGAACCACAAATTACCTTTTTACTATTTTGTCTTTGAACAATTATTTCATCCAAGCAATTATCCTGTTAATTTAAAAACATTTTTTATGAAATATTTGTGTACGTATGGTAAAACAATGCTCATATTAGAATCATTAGAATCGATTGTCGTTAGCATTTAAAAAGAAAATCCATTGCGTACAATGAAACCTTGCATCCAATAAACTTTTCAGTTATTAGGCCATTGTGCCATCTATACAGCAAAATGAATAAAAGTATACTTTATATTAGTTCATACCTGTGATCCATTAATATCGACATTGAAGATGGACATGCGAAAGTTATTTTCGAGAATATCCCAAGTGCAGTCTATATTACTTGGATAAGGATTTGGATACGAAGGACTCTCAATCACGATCCTCTCGCCCTTCTGTACGGTTCCTCCACAAGAATTGATGAATCCTGAAAAGTATAATATTGTTAAAAGTACTTTTGAAAATTTTTCTGCGCTTAAAAATTTACTTACTTTCGCAGTTGTTTGTACGATTAACCCAAATGCGATTCGGTGAACATTCGCAGCGGTAACTTCCAATTGTATTTATACAAATATCGTTACATCCACCTCGATCTGGCAATTGGCATTCGTCGATGTCTACAAAATTTTAGTTTTTATTAAAAAGAAAATTCCATAAAATGCTAATTATTTTAAATAGGTCATCCTTGCAAATTCCAAACATTCCACTCTTAATACTTGATATATTTTGATGGATTAGTTCTTATTCGCCATTGCTGACTTTCATGTATAAATAAATACAAGTTTAAATGTGTAGTAAACAATGTGACCATTGTACTTGCACCTGCTGCAGGAAGGTTTAGTGCAAATTATTACAAATAGACTTAATTTCTTTTTAGTTGTTGTAGGTGCATAAATTCTAAATAAAGACTGGCAACTTGTCTAAAACTATAAATATTATTTATAACAAAAATATATCAGAAAACTTAGACAATTCTCAAACATTTTAAATAAAATAATATAAAATAAATTCAGCGATTATTTAGCGAATTCTAATTAAGAAGGGATATTTCTAATTTCAACTTCCTAATAAAATTAACTCTAAATGATTAAATTATTTATACCTTTTATAAAATTGGCTGAAAATTTATTTTTCTTATTTCTGTTTTTCGATACGTAAGTGACAGTTAGCTTGTTGTTGGTTGATACGATAACATCGGGCACTTTATTACCACAGACTTTATCCAAGATTACTTTACCGGAATCGATGTCGCCATCAATAACTTCGATGTAGTCAGACTGGCAATTTTCATCGTCATTAATCTGTTAAAAAGAATTCCCTGTTAAATCCTCTTGAATGTACACGTTAGATCGATTTCTAAATGATATTTTCGCTTACGTTAAATGTCTCAAAACTTAAAACGACATGGCCTATGGGAACAGCCAGCACCCATTGACATATGGAATCGTATGGATAAGGATGATCGTAGTTTGGATTTTGCAATCTGCCGTAATCTCCTTCAATGGTTCCGTTGCAAACAACTACAAGTAAAATGATTTATGGTTTTATTAAAAATTGCATTAAACCATTTACAGTGAATTATTAAATCACGTTATACGTCTACCTCTGTACAGTAGAAAGAACTGTTCACTTGCGGAATTTGGGGAAGACTCGTAAGTGATCAAGAGATTGTTTCTTTCAGTTTTATAGTAAGTTCTCTTCTCTCTGATTCCACAAACACGATCTAATATATTAAATAGCATAAAACAACTTAGGTAATAAGTAATGATGAGTAAGATGTTTTAATTTAAATAGCTGTTAGTATTTTACGAGTAAATGTATAAAAACACAAAAGCTAAAATATTTTCACGTTTCCGCCATGTTTAATTATCAGGAAACGGCTGATTGAACAGTGAAGACATTTTAGTTGTTAAATTCTAAAATATCATAATAAAGACTGATATCAGCCTATATGTATACGTGTGGAAAAATCATAGTTTTTTATAACACAAAATTTATATTATACTACAATGTTATTTAAATAATTTGTCTTAATAAGAATTGTATATTAATTAATAAATATAATATTTGGGGTGGTAAAAAGAAGCCTTCTTATAGAATTTTAGACATAAATCTTCTAATCGTGTGAAAAACGTTATTTTCTCGAATATTTAAATGTCATCAAGAATTAAACACTTGTACATATAAAGTTACCTATTACGGGTGATTTGGACGTGTATCCATCTTGAAGTAGCAAGTAGTTGGAGGAACATCCATCGCTTTCGGGTATGTCAACCTTTTCGACATAAAACTCTATAAATTCTCCCGGATCTCTCTTTATAAACCATTGACAAGAGCCTTTATTTGATGTCAGACTGTTTGCAGACATGTCTATTTTATCCATTTTCTTTTTTAGTTTAACGTAACAATCTGTTAATAAAATTAAATTTTAGTCATCTTTGTGAAAATTCTCGCTTGTTATAGGGCATAATGCTTCTTGATACAGCTCAAGTTTGGCTGATTGCACCGACTTGTCACAGCCTTTAGATCAAGTGATGGAACTATTAGACTTTTATATTACATCTACAAAATACAAGGTGGTCGTACAAAGTGAAAAAGTCTGTTCAATCAGCTGAATTTGAGCTACATCACGAGGTAATTTTTACTTTTCCTTTACCAGAATAAATATTAAAAGTAGTATATTTACCTGGGCATTTATACAGTTTATTTGCAGCAGCGATATCTGTTTTACTTAGTTTCATGTTACCTTTCCTTAATGATATACTTTTATTTAACGCTTGCATACTGTCCTTTCCTTCTTTATTAAGTAATGACGGGTAATGCATAATGCTGTCGAAATCGTAGGAAAATCCTAGAGTGTCCGCTTCATCGCTACTTATTTTCCTATATTGATAATACTTTTCTGCAAGGGAAATGTAAATAAAGATAAGCATTCCTCCAACTTTTATGTACCATAAACAACTTACCTTTTTCTATATTATCATATAAAACTTCGATAAAGTTATCACGATCCGGACGACTTTGTTCGTGATAAAATCCCATTGTGTGCGCCAATTCGTGCAATATCGGAGTGACCCAATTACATTGTTTTTCGTGTAAAATAATGGGTTGTTTTTCGTATAATTTTCCTAATCTCGAGCAGCAACTGAAACCATCAACAAAAAATTGACATTACGTAAAACTTGATCTGTGTCTTGTCGCATGAAAAATGAAAATCGGCAATTTCTTACCCACAGTTACCAACGTCTACAAATGATACGCGAAATTTATGAATGGGTTCTGCCGGCATAAATTTTATACACGTTTTCGATTCCCAAATATCCATTGCGTGTAGGAGAAGTTTTATAAATTTATCTGTAAGATATAGAAAATTAAATATGCATAACGTGAAGTGACATTAACTCAGTTACAACGATTCTTTTCTGTTAGAAAAACGGACGAATCGAACATAGTTTTACTCTCGTTCTTAACTTTACTTAGTCACTCGCGTGTTCTACTACTTACAGAATATCAGGATAATTATTTAATTATATTTATATGATTGTTCTTATACAATAAACAGTTTCATTTATTTAAACTATTTAAATCTGCACTGAAATCGTAAAAATCTTAAAAACTCACCACTGAAATTTGCATTTATTTCGTAAGGTATAACACCATCATCCCAAAGTTTATTAGGATCCGAAGTTGCTACTCTCTTCCAAATTTTTCTAAATGGTTTTAAAAGTTAAAATAAACTAATCAAAACACTTGAAAGATTTGTAGAAAATATTTACCTTTTATGAAAATTCTCAGTATCTTTTTCTTGTGGAATTTTCGAAAGACTCTTTGCGGAAGTCAAAATAATGGACAAAGTCGTGAATACGAATAAACTAATTAATATCTTCATCGTACGATTGAAATGTTCGTTCGTATTCAATCGTTACGAAGAGAAAAGTGTGATATTTGACATTGAAAATTGCTGTCGATAAAAAGGTAGGAAGTGAAATTTCTCGGAAAACTTTGTTTATATGGAAATGATATACTTGCAGAAAGGATGCAATTAGTAGTAATTAGCTTCTTATCGCTCTTACGAGCTATATGTTCATTATAAAATACACGGAAGAATATATTTAGATAAAAATTATTTTAATTGAAAGTTATAGATATATAGTTGACCCTCCTTCACTAATTTTCGAGTGGATACAAATAGATAAACCACTGGTAGTTAGTCGCGGGTTCGCATTATACTTACGGGTTGGCACGTGAGGTTCTCCGGGTTTTCTTCATGTGTTTAACATATAAACAGGAAACAGTTCCCCGTGAAAGTCCTCTCGTAAAACATCACCCTTTGGCGGATTGCCAAAGTGATATGTTTCCTCATACCATTTCTCTAATTCAAATTCATGATAAAATAGGTTTTATCATGAATTTGACTAGTTTTAATTACGCGTTATATTCAATTTTGATAATTAAATAAGAGAACCTCACCTGTAATTTTTCTTTCTCGGGGTTCCACTATAGTGTTCGAAATTGAACAGGTCACTGATGTTTTTATTATTGTCCTCACGAATCCTTTTACATTAGTGACAGAATCCGTGACCTCGGGCATTGGTCAGGCTATTATAATCCTACAATTCTATTATAATTTGAAAGATAAAAATCGTGGCTTATGTGATATTTAATGCCTAGAAAACATCTATGTTTTACGGTTAATTAATTAAGCAGTAAATTTATCTGAGAATAAATAATAATTAAATGATTATTCGTATACAATATGAATTTACATTTAAAATCGAACCGAAAGAATTTTTGCATATAAGCATTTATTTGGCATTTTGGCACGAGAGAACTATTTTAATCTTCTGTTCACGGCATACTTTATGACAAAAATTAAGCAACTTTTGACTTACTGTGTAGATCGATGCCTTTACATTAAAGTTAATGTTTAAATAAAATTAATCAATGTGTGGTTCAACAAATATTTTAAATCCGTTATTGTTTACATTGCTCATGAATCGAGTTTCTTAAGACCTGGGAAACTCGCATATTACATTTAATGGTAGCGACATAAATTACATTATATTTACAATCATTCTGTTAAATTAAATTAATTTAGATCAATTCTGTTAATGTTAGTATCACAGATTTAACTTTTCATACTCTTTGAGACAACCTCATAAAGGTTGAAGGTTGCCTTCAAGACTTAATAGTGTAGTTTCTGTTATTTGATAAGAATTTAATACTAAGGAGTAGCAATCACGACTGTTTTAAACATTCTCCTCCATAAGTTTCTGTGATGTTATACAGTATCAGTACATTCATCTCGATGTAGCATTCGGTGATTTCTGTAAAATTATAATAGATACTTCAATATAACCGTGATAATGTTACGTAAAGTGCAAATTGTTTGCAAAAGCAACCTATATTTTCATCAAGTTGCTCATATGTTTAAATTATTTTACCACGTGTATTCTATTTAATAAACGCTTCATTTATGTTTCCTCGATGTTATGTTTACTCGAGCATTATCGATGTGATAATTGTACATGTTGTGAAAGATTATGTGATGCCATGTCATAAAGTTTCTGAAAAAATCTCCTTAAAGTCTTGAATTTTCTTTGTACTAATACACAAGCGATTACTTACTTATAGACCAAGGAAATTATAAGTCATAAATTTGCAATGAATTTCTGAATCATTTTTATACTCGGGTAAAATGACTGCTCCATGGTCGTCTATGGGAACCATAGAAACCGAGTAATTTATTAAATCGTATAAATAAGTTTACGATATTTCGAATTGCGCAATCGTCCGTAATTTCCTTTAATGGTTCCATTGCAAACAAGTACAAGAAGAAGCAAATTCTTGAAGTTGTTCAAGAAGAAGATTCCTTATTCAATAAAGTTATGAATCAACTGAAATTTAAAGTTTGAAATAAAAGTTTACTGTAATAATTATAAACTTTAAAATTAAGTAATAAAATGCGTTATGAACATTATAATATCATGCTGATATCAACACAGAAGCATGCCAACTTCGGCTTCGAGTGCAATACTAAATGCCAAATTTAAGACGAACATCAGTTTCTCATCTCTAAGAAAGACTTGTTGACGTTATAAATTCGAAATAATAAACGTGTAAGGACGTCGACACCAATTTCCTCAGAGACAGTGTATAACTAAAGTAGTTACACATAAAACTAATTATAGGTTATTTAATTTCAAAACTTAAGTTTGTAGAGTTTCGTGAATTTTGTGAAAAAACTTGTTTCTTAACAGAAAAAATTCTCAACTCAGTAATTAATATAGGAAACAATTAGTTTCCTATATAAATGTTATTACTTCCTTATAAACATGGGCCATTGAACAAACGTCACTTCCTGCATAATTATCGAAGTTACGTTCATTGTGAAATATCACACAGACGTGAGAATATCAGTAAACACTCTTATCGTAACAGGAAGATGTTAATGCATTTATTGGGCTACAATTTGAAAACATTGTAGACCTATAAATTTACACTGTTGTCCGTTATCTGTCTGTCTTTTCTTAATCTCATAAATGGAGTTAGACAGTTGAACGTCCAGGCGACATATATAAACACACGTGGTTGGAAGTCCCCATTAATTACACATGAACTTTCGAGACAAAGCGAAAGTCATGTTATTTCAATTCAAAAGTTTCTTCCTCGAAAGAAATTAATAAATGACCGGCACGATTTACTCGACACTGTTCCAGGGCCCTTACGACGATGCAGCAAATCGCATCCGAAACTTTTGCAACGCAGGACAAGATCGTATCCGAAGACATCTTAAAGTTCTGAATCTAAGGACCTTTGCTGAAAAAAATATGTAAGCATTTTCGACAAAAATAATGGCTTTCCTCTGTAAAATACTTGTCTTTTGCTGCCTCCTTAAACCGCGACTCACATACGCCGTAGACCTTAGAGCTATCCCGACGACAGAAAATAAAATTCTCCCCCAATAGGCGTTCTTACATATTTTAAACTAACTAAATAAAAAAATATTAAAAGTTTTATCCCGATATTGGTAGAATGTAGTAACGTTTATATCCTCTGTGACGTACTGGCATTCGTTACTGTATTATATCAGAAATCTAATACAGCAACTCGTGTTATCATTATAATCTACGTTAATATGCAACGGTATGTACTAATTATCTGACAATTAAAAACAAGATTTAAACGATTAATAATATATATAATATATTTTATTATTTAATTTTAATGTTTTTAAGCATTGATTGTTTCTCTTCATATATTATCTGTTCATCGATATAGATATTTTTCCATTTATAACTTTGTCTCTGATTATAATTACTATTTACTTTAGTACCATGTTTGGTAGAGCAATAGTAACTATAAAAATAGTTATTGCTTTACTATACTACATCCATGATAGTAAAAGAGAGTTAGTATTTGTTTTACTGACAGTCTATATGTGTGTCTTTATCTGCGATTAGCACAGACATAAGTTATGCAACAATAGATCTGTTACAGGCAACGGCGTCTGCAAATTGTAGAAAAATGAAGGACACAAGCTATAAAAGCATCATACATCATTGGACAAGCTTTAAATTATGATTTACCATAAACTGAACGCTTTCACAATGCGACACTGCTGACAATTCGTGCTAAATCGACCTTGAAAACAATACACGTTTCTTGAACACTTCAAATGTACAATATGAATAAACGTTACTTAACACCCTCATAAAATTGAGCAATGTTACCAAAGGGAAATTTTAAAATAGAAATAATTGACATAGATGCATGACATGGTAAAACTTTTTATTTTTAGAAGCATATCTTCTTCCTAGGTTATAAAATGTGTTATTATATGGTGCCAAAATGCCAAATAACGTGTCTCTTTGCAAGAACTTCCTCCATACCATCTTTCCTCCATGCCATAACTTCGTCCATCCATAGCCATGGTGAGAGGAAACGCCTAGAAATTGAACAAACTTACCGACGTCAGTATATCGTCTCAAATTACGATGTATCGTAAAAAACTTACGATCGTCTCAAATTACGAGTAGTTTACTAAGGAAAAGCTAAGAATATTAAGTAATGAAAACATTACTGCATTAATAAAGTGATTTGCTGAAGACAAATCTGAATAAACCGAACTAACTTCATCACACACCAGAAGGAGTCCTGTCAAGCAATCACTGTATACGAGGTAAAATTTTTTGCAAACAAATAAAGAACTTTGCTGGAGAAACAAATTGATTCTTCGAAGTTTCTTATAGATTCTTCGAAAAACGTTTTACAGCTGGAACATATCGTTTCTTTAAATTCAGGAAACCATTCTAAACACACTGCACATCTTTTTAAAATAACTTCATCCCAGTGCAACGTATCACTGTCTTCTGCTTCAACTAAATAAAGACAACATTAATAATTTATTCACGTCTAACATTCTGCATAATTACAAAACTTAATTATCTCAAAACTGCTGCCTGATTCTTATTCCGTGATTATAAAACAAGGCCAAGACCTAAAAGCAGAGCTGAAAAGAAATAAAATATATAACTTTCAAGAAACGATCTTTCATTAAAATATAGCATTATTTAATAATTCTAATTAAAAACTTACTAAACAATTTAAAATCGAAGACCTAAACTCGATTTTAATCAAATTAAAACTCCACTTTCTCTGCTTTTTATAGAGGTACTAGTAGCTCGGGACGCCCCCTAATGAGCTACCTTTGGAAATTTCCATGAGACACGGTTCCTTTGACTATTTGTTTTTATCAATACGCTCTACAGCTCTGTTAAGGTCTCAATCGCATCATACAAATCTAGATTTCTACTTAATAAACATTCTATAAAACTTTAAAATAGTTTAATTTGTTTATTTACCTTCGCTTGTAATCCTGGATTTCAAATGTATCCGCCATTTTTTCAACAAATTTCCCGTGAGTCATTGCGCGACGTTCACTGAGTCAAGGGATGTTGTAAAA